TGGATTTTTGGAGTACACCTGTTGTTGAGCCCCTGCCAGGTACTGATGGCCACTAACCCCCAAATCACTTTCCCCCCTGCTGTTGATGCTTGGAATGTCAGACAGGACCGAGCGGCAGCCGGTGTGTATTTCAAACACAGCAGATGGATTTTTATATTAGCTCCTATTTCATGTTCAGGCAGAGCGACCGGCACACTAAAACCACACAGCCTCAGTGCCGCCGAGTTTGCTTCTGTGAGATTAATTCTGTGAAATTAATTGGGACAAGATTGAAAAGGAAATTAAAAATGCAGTTGAGTGAACAGGCCTCTCAAACACCTTTTCCCCCACTCTGTTCAAACTTGAATTCTGCGGTGGTCGCCGGCATCGTGGGAAGTAATTTACGAGAGGCAGGCTCTCAGGAGTGATCCGTTACGTATGAGGAGACCTGCACCAGCGCCACAATCTGGAGCCACTGAAAAGCGCTAAACACCCTGCTGTGGCTTGAGCTGTGTCCTGGCTCCTCCAGGGGGAGGAAGGGAGGCTCTTACCAGAAAAAGCCGCTCAGAAATCTCTGGGCCCAAAAGGAGTTGCAGGAGCATCCGCTGGATGTTTACATCTGCTTCGTTATTAAAATCTCTCTCTAATATGTTTTAAGATCCAAATTAGAAGTCAGCTAGTTAAGTGGGCATGAGGCTGCTTGGGCCGAGGAATGTTAGGATGTGCTGAGGGGCGGTTGGCAGGCGGGAGGGCTCTCTGCTGGCTGTGTCCTTGTTACTGCTCCTGAGATGGGTACACCGCTCAAGCCTCTTCTAGAAAGAGGTTTGGAGACTTTTCTGGTGTCAGTGATGATGTTTCTAAACCACAAAGACACAGTGGATTTCCACGTAGGCCTCCCTCTTCACTGGGTAGTGAGTGTTCTTACCTACGTGAGAGAACTTTGTGTCTCAACCGATGGAGTGTCTGAGGAGTTCTTGGTGTATGGACCATTTTTCTCAGAAAAAATAAATAAATTTATTTATTTATGTGTGTGTGTGTGTTTGTGCACGTGCGCACGTGTGTGCCAACATTCTAGCATGTGGAGCTCAGGGACAACTTCTGGGAGTTGGTTCTTTCTTTCTGCCATGTGGGTCCCAGGGATGGAACTCAAGGGGCAGGCTTGGTGGCTGGCGTCTTCACCCATGGAGCCATCTTACTGGCCCTCATTTTGCTTTACTATATCAATGATTTATTGAAATCACAAGGAAGTGCCCAGCACACAGGGCTGCTTTAGTGTAGAGTTAGTGGATGGGAAAGAAGGATGTAGAAGTTTATTACTGAAGGGCTGCGTTCACCTTCACACACATTCTCTGATCACCGCCCTCTGAGCGGAAACTATCCTAATTCTTACAGAGAAGGACATTAAAGCTGAGAAAGTTTTAGTGACTTTTTTCAAGGTTACACAGGTAACCTACTTGGGAACAGGACAGGTGGGGGGCTGTTTGGATAACTAGGAAGTGCATCTATCTATCTATCTATCTATCTATCTATCTATCTATCTATCTATCTATAGATCATGTACCATATATATAATGTAACATACATATCGTGTGTGTGTGTGTGTGTGTGTGTGTGTGTGTATTACAGGGCTGGAGATGGGTCAATGGTTAAGAGCACTGCCTACCATTCCAGAGGATCCAGTTTCAATTCCCAACACCCACATGGTGACTCACAACCATCTGTAACTCCAGTCCCAGGGGGTCCAAGGCCCTCTTCTGGCCTCTGAGGGCACAGACATATGTACAGCCAAAATACCAATACATGTTAAATAAAACAAGCAAGCAAGCAAGCAAACAAACAAACAAGCAAACATCCCCAATCCCAGCAGGGACAACAGGAGTCCAGGGTTAAAAGCTGACATCTTCCCCTTTCTATCTGCTCATCTCACTTCCCTGCCTTGAATCTCCTTTTTTGTTTTCTGAGACAGGGTCTCTTTATTATGTATCCTTGGCTGTCCAGGAACTCAAAATGTAGACCAGGCTGGCCCTCAAATCACAGAGATCCTCACGCCTCTGCCTCCTGAGAGTCACCACACTTAGCAGAGTGTTTCCTTAATAAAGAGCTAAGGATTTAACTTGGTAGTAGAGTATCCAGGGCCTAGCATGCATAAGGCCCTGGATTTGATCCTTAGCACTCTAAGTTTTACTTTGAGAGGGGTAAACCAGTTGTACCTATGGGGGTGAAGACAAAACAGGTGGCGGTTGGGATACTTGTGGTTCAAATGGAGCAAGCTGCGAGCGAGGGCTGTGTGGGTCTCTCGAGGACCTTTGCAACATCAAGCTCACCGTGTTTAGAATGGAAGTATCTAGGGTGGGAGGGACAACAACTCCCTCATTTTATAGGTGAGGAAACAAGTCCACGGAGTTGAGCTGTACAGCTGTGCTGTGTGTCCCACAGGGAGACACTCTACAGGCTTCTAGACAGAGGCCTTCCTTGCTCAGCCAAGGGGCTACTGGCCTTCGGAGGGAAGAACTACACTCCAGAAACCATTCTCTTGGACTAAACTCAGTGTGCATCAGTTTGTTCTCTTGCTCCAGGTTCGAGAGTCAGGCTCATTCCAGCAAAGAAAGCCAGCTGGGGCTGAGGTAGGATGAACCTGAGAGATAATTCCAGACAGCAGGGAGTGGCTGAACATCTAAATGGTATCAGAATCTCCTTTTCTATCTGTACGAATTGGTTCATTTGTGGGTTTTTTTTTTTTTTTTTGAGACAAGTAAATAGGAAGGGAGGTCTTTTAAGGCACCTTTTTGTCCAAGGGCTCTGATGGAGTTAGATAATAGACTCATGGTAAATCCAATCCCAGATGCTCCCCAAGCTGATGTGAAACAGAATGAAGCTTGCAAAAGGAACGTTCCTTGAACTACAACCTTCTCATTTCCTCCTCTGATTTGCAGGGATTAGCAATATGAGAAGGGAGTCACCTGGTATAGTTTAGGGGGCAGAAATACTGATAGACTTAGAACCTTCCGGAACAGTGGAGAAAGAAGCTGATAGAATTAAGGCAGCGAGGCATTTTCCCTGAATTAAACTCTGATGCATTAGCATGTAGTCATGGAGGAGGGGAACAGAAGTTGAGTTTTAAAAGAGCAGTCTAACGTTCTTAGGCATCTCATAGAAATACCACAGCCATGGTAACCACACACCACTCTATATTGTGGGACAGGTCACTGCACAGCCCCTTAGATCTAACTGGAGGGAAGGGACCCCCAGTGAGAAGCCATTAACAAAGGCAAAAGACATGTAAAACAAACAAAATAATCATGACAGAGAGAAGGCCAGCCGCCAGTCTGGCTCTGCAGTCCCCCTCCTGCTGCAGGCACCTCTAGACAATGTAAACAGTTAATTTGTTCACCTGCAGGCTCTGGGCAAACAGAGGCCTGGTCACACCTGAGTGGATAACTCGATTACCCCGTAATGCCAGCACGGTAATGTACACAAATTCTATTACACGGCAAACCTTGCTTTCGGGCATTTGAAATACCAATCGGGCCAGTGTCCACTCCCTTCTTTGCTTCCAATTTATTCTTGGTGTATTGGAGCTGCACCGAAATTGTGGAAGGGTGGTGCTGAGTTAGAGTCACAGGAGAAATCACTAGAACATCATGATCTCATCCAGCAGGGCCTACAAAGCCCTTAACGTCCTGCAAAGGGCTAGGTCTGAATTTAGTTATTGTTTAAAGGGACCTGATTCATTGGAATCTCTGGAAGACATCTGGAGTCAGACTTGGTCTGTTTCTTTTTTTTTTATTACATTTTATTTCATTGCTTTACATTTTATATTTTAATTACATTTTATTTATTTATTAAATTTTCATTCACTAATTTACTCTGTGTGTGTGCACCACAATGCACATGTGGAAGTCAGAGGACAACTTTCAGGAGTCGGTCCTCTCCTTCCACATCGTCTCTGGGACTGAACTCAGGTCTTTAGTCTTAGCAGCAAGTACCTTCACCTACTGAGCCATTTCGTCTGCCCCTTGGTCTTTTGTAAAGGAGCTCACAGCGTATGTCAAGCACAGACCCTTGGTATAAGTAGTACCAGTCATAGAATAAGAGAAACAGCAAATGTGATGTTCATAGCACAGTGGGTCTCTTCTTCCCCTCCATGGCGTTCATGTACTCAACAATTAAAGAGCAAATTATGCCTATTTCAAAACTGTATTTGTAGATATTGACGGGCTGCATAGAGAACGGCCTCTGTGATAAATTCTCTTAGGAAAATAAAACAGGTTGTCTTAGTCTGGCTGTATAATATGTGTGGCCTTTTTTGTTGGTTTGTTTACAGGATGATGATGAAGAATTCCCTCAAACTGTAGCCTGTGACTCCAGAAAATTCTTTTATGATAGGCAGGCAATAATCTATCCCTTAAAAAAAAAAAGCCCTGTTGCTTTACTGTCAACAATAGCATGTGTTAGCTGAGTCGAGGGCTGGCTTATGCTTGAAGAAGAGAATAAAGTTAGCTGGCCTTCGTGCAATTGAATTTGGGAGGTTGGCCTTATCAGCACCGGCTCAAACCAATTGAGCTAACAGGTTCTGACTCCTCCTCCCATAGGTAATTATGTTATCATCTCATTTATCTAGAAATGAAATAAAAATCTAGTTTACCTAGTTAGAATGTTTTCAATAGTATTATATGGTAATAAATTATGTACATAGTGTGACCTTTGTATATCGTAAGTTCTCAGAAAACATCAAATTTTGACTGGCATAATTTTAGTATTATATCTACTTCATTATATATATATTTAAATTTGCTTTAGTGTACCTTTAAATGTGAAAAAATGATTCCTGGGCTTAAATTTTTAATTAAAAAAATTCCCAAACAATTATACATTAAGGGGGATTTTGATCTGTGTAAGGAAAGCCATGTAATATACAGAGTGAGAGGTCTAATAACATGGGATTATTCTGGTTACGTTGAGTATACTAACAGGAGTGAAAACATAGCTTTGGACCCAAGCCCTATATTCTACATCTTTACCTTGCTCAGAATTCGGATGAGGTCACCCCGTTGGAAGGACAGTTCATCTGGCTGGTCACCATGGCAATCCCATAGGCCCTGGTAATAATCGGCATAGTCCACTGATCAAAGAGAAGAGAAAGCAAAGATAAAAGGAATCAGTTTGGCTGCAAATGGAAACCGAGGTTCTGATACAGCCTCCAGGAAACTTAAGATTCAGGGGGCCCCAGAAGACAAACATTCAGAGCAAAGGACTATGGGAGGACGAGACTGTTAACTCACATGAAATATTTACAGATCACCCCTAGTAGGAATGCTACTCAACAATATGGTAATAGATCTATTTATTAATAGAAGAAAAACCAGGCACATAATTTCTCAGTTGGGTTGCAAACAAGCAGCACAAAGATGTTTCCCACTAGATTTCTTGATCCAGGGCATCCAAACACCAGAGTGCATCTCTTCTTTATGCATCTGAAGGAACAGATCCTTCTGCCTGTCTATGAGAGAGGCTGAGTCAGCCAACATTCTTCTACGACGTCATGCCTCACATTTTGGCCTCCCTCCTCTGTTACCCAGGAGCTTCATCCCAGGTACTGTATGAGATAGTTACCAATAAATACTGAAACGAATAGCCCCGTCTTTAAGTGGAGCCATGGGGGTGTCTCATCCATTACAACTAAATTCTGGGTGGGCTGGGCTGGCCCTTTTCCAGCATCTCATTTGTAGACCCTGAACATGTCTGCCAAGATTTATCTGCAAGCCCCTGGGGAACAGAAACCAAGCTGATCTGCATTAAAAATGAAAGCAACTGAAGACACCAAACCAAGCTTTAGACAACACAGGAGAGATTTACAGGGCTCCTCAGCCAGACTAGATGGCAGTGATGCCACAGGACAGCCATCGATTCTTAACAATGAAGAATTCGTATTGATCCTCTTCTACCCGGAAAGGTTAAACACCATTGTACACAGTGGGTGAACATGTGGGGGTTTGAATGGCAGGAGAGCTAATGCCCACTGGACCAGGGATACTTGGAGTTTCTTAGAATCCTCCATACTAGACCTATGAGCCAAGCACCTGGCAAAAGTGAAATCTGATTGATGGGACTCAGGAGTCCTGAGATGTAGTTGAGAATCTGTGTGATTTTTAGCTAGGAGGCTGATGCAGGAGGATCATGGATTCCAAGCCAGCCTGGATTACACTGTGACACCCTGTCTTGAAATATGGAACAAAAAAATTTGGTGATTTCTAGGGACTCTGTCTCATCAATTCCTACTTGGTCTGAATTTGTTTGGATTCTCTCGTGAACACCCACAATTCTAAGGCTGTTTTTGACAGCAACAGATGGGGTGCAAATGGTCAGTGAGGCACCACAGAGGACCTGGCTGTACTTGCTCCCTCCCCAGTTTGTTCCTAACTTATGAATAATTCAAATAACAGAGGCACAGTGGAACAGATCCCTGTACGTCTTTGTAAAAGACTCTTATTAGGCATCTTAAAGTGCCAAAAAGCAGAGGAGAGACTGGCTCGTTTGGGTAAGAGCAGCTTGCAAACAGAAATAAAAATGTCAACCATAGAGACCTGGGTGTGTTTTCTTTACACAGAGACTTGTCTGTCTCTGCAGCAGACAATAGAGGGCAGCATACAAAGTAACTGCCACAGAAACCGGCTGCCATCGACTGAAGAACACATTGGGAAGAAAAATATATTGGGAGAAGAAACGCTAACTGTTGAAAAGAGAACGCATATATTTTGGGGGGACATCATTGCATGAAATGATAGAGAAATATCAACCTTAAAAAGTGATGGTGGTTTCCCCAGAGGCTATGTTATACATTCTCAGTTGTAAGGGAGTTTATAAATCATCCCGAGACTTTGGCTAGGTCTAAAAATGAGAAGCCACTTGACATCGATATTCTTTGTGAATTTGTAGATGGCAGAGGAAAAAAAATTGTTTTATAAAAAACAGATTTCAAAACCCCAATTTGGCTATTTATGAAAGGTAGGAAGACTGGCAGAGCAGCCTTGGCATTCTCTGACTTAGTGCATAGTCATTTTGAGTTTTTTTTTTTTTTTTTTTGTGGTTTTTCGAGACAGGGTTTCTCTGTGTAGTCCTGGCTGTCTTGGAACTCACTCTGTAGACCAGGCTAGCCTCGAACTCTTGAACTCAGAAATCTGCCTGCCTCTGCCTCCCAAGTGCTGGGATTAAAGGCGTGCGCCACCACCGCCTGGCCACTTTGAATTTCTGATCCCCACAGTGTGCTTGGGTGTGAGACAGCTCCTAAGGTACCTTTTGGATAAATATGAGATTCCTGCCACACCTTGATAATGGTGGAGGAGACCACGTGGGGAAAGACCTAAGCTAAAGATACATTACAAACCAGACTCAGTGCTCCACACCTATAATTCCAGCAATCAGAAGGTTCAGGCTCATGATTGCTTTGAGTTTGAGGCCAACTGCACTACAAGGTAAGTTCAAGACTAGCCTGGGCTATGTGGTGAGAGAGACTTTGTCTCAAAAAACATGGAGCCGGGGTGCAGGGAGACAGGCAGACAAGAAGATAGGGAGATATCAACTATAGACCTGAGCTTTCTAAGACACAGAAAAAGAATACAGACAAAGAATACAGAAAGGCCTTCGGAGTTTGGGAACCCAGGAGACAGCCCAGGCCACACTTAAGGACCATGACAAACAGCTCTGAGCAGTTAAGCAGAATGATAAGGCTAAAACTGGGGAACACAGTCAACCTGCTGCCCACAGAGAATTTTTGTATTAAGGAGACCAACGGGGGAGTCATTCTTTAGCTGGATAAGATTGGACCCAGATGGTACAAGGTCCTTGTTTAACTTATGAGAGTCATATTTATGCATATGTGTACAGGAAACTTCATGAATCCATTCCTTGGCATCCATCAGGCCTGTGCATAACAATTAACTAAACACCAGGGACTGTGCTAGATACCGGGGATTCCGAACCGGTCATATGCAGTCCCTGCTCTCAAGGCTACCCTCTAGTTAGGGAGGTGCTGTGGACCAGAGTTATTATACCAGTATTCAGGACTGAGGAGGTTGAGGAAACTTAGTAGAGAGTCTTAGTGCTCAGGGGAGGATTCTTTGAAGTTTCAGCTGTCTGCATAAGCCTGAGCTGCCGGGCATCACAGAGAGATCTTAAAGTTGGGAGGAGGAGAGACTGAGCAATACTTCATTCCTGAAGCTTGGCCTTAGGAAGGGCCTGGAGGTCTGGAGGCCTGCACCGTGAGTTTCAGCTGTGCCCTAAACCAGGCTTGCTCATCTTCAGACAGGAGGACAAGGGCAGATACTGTTCCCATAGGGCAGTGAAAGGAGTTAGGAGCCCGAGAGCAAGGTTTTCTCTGTGGACTAGATTTTGGCTCAGTTAGGTTTCCACCACACTGGCAACAGCCTGAGTCAGAAATGATGCAATCTTCTGACCAGTTAATTAATTCAAAACATCCTCATTCTCATTTTGAGGACATTATTCCATCTAATTATTTTTTTCCTAGTCTGTCCATTTGGAATGAAAGACAAAAGAACGAACGCTTAATGCCAGCATTTCTCAACGTCTCTCAAAAAAAAAAAAGTAACTCTACACTAAATAAAGCCTGGTAATTCAAAAGCAAAAGCTCTAATATATTCAGCATAAAACAGACAGAGGACCTAGAGCAATAATGACAACACTAATAACTAAAACAGTTATAACAATTAACAACAATTACAATGATAGGAAGCTAATGGCTATGATCACTGCATTTAAATTGCAAGCAGAGCTGAGAAGGAGTGTTTCTAGAGGAAATGGGGGTGGGGTGGGGTGGGAGTAGGAGTGTCTTATTCTTTCTAATCCTATGTGAGAGGAACCAAAGCTTCGAGCGAGCAAAGTATCACAAAGACGAGCAACTGACAAGAGTTGTTTTTCCCTCTTCCAGGTGGTCACTAGAAATCCTATGTCATTCCACACCAGGTTCTTTGTGACCAGGATAGGCATTTTTCCTTTTAAGAAGTCCAGCCTGGTGTTACTGGTGACAGAGTCAATGGAGGCACCTAGTAAAAGGACCAGGATACCTATTTAGCTTTCCTTGTCTTCAGGGACAACAGAAGATGACTGTTCTCCCAGAGCTTAGTTGTTACGGGGCATTGGGTAGCTTCAGAGTTCGAGCTGTAACCGGGGAGAGGAGGCTGAAGAAGGTCAATGTGCTGTTTACATTTTCTTGATGAGTAAAGGGGCCGGGTCAATGAGGTTTGGCATTAGGCACAGCTGTTTAAATTGGGGACACCAGACAAAGCCTTGAAAACAAACCTACCACAGTAGGGCCCAGTGAGAGTTGGACCAACTCTGTAAACAGTGGTTTGGAATGCTCTAGTCTAAGCCAAGTCAGGAGAGGCCGCCATGGTAAGTACACTCAAAGCAGATACCCACTGCCACTTTATTAACAGTTTCAGAAATATGAAGAAACTTGCCAGGTTCCACTCACTGTGACATCAGAGCAGGAAGAATATTTTTTGCTCATTTTCCATACCATTTGCTTATGTTCAAGCCCATTTCATCTTGAGTTATGAAATTACTATGCCCCTTAATTTTGTAAGTATGATTTATGAATGGAGAACAATCACAGGTCGTGATTCTCACCTCATCAGTTCCTTTTATTGGGTTAAAATGTTAGCGGGTGACGCTCAACTCAGGGTTGGTCCTGGAAAAACAGAGGACAAGAGCTACAGGAGCCTGTGTTTTCCATTTGGTTTGGTATAAGAGTTTTCTATCGGCGGGCACCACAGTGGGCCAGCAGAGGGTCTCCAGGATGGAAAGCCTATGAAAGACCGCTCTTCCGCTCTCCTAACATGACTCGATGTTTGTAAGACCAAGCCTGGTTTGCTCACAGAGACAGACAGAGACAGAGAAACGAACAGAGACACACAGAGAGACAGAGAAAGACACACACAGAGACAAACAGAAGGACAGAGAGACACAGATAAAGACACAGAGAGAGACACAAGAGAGAGACAGAGACACACAAAGCCACACAGAGACAGAGAAACGAACAGAGACACACAGAGAGACACACAGAGAAAAACAAATAGAGACACACAGAGAGACACACAGACAGACAGGACAGAGAGACACACAGAGACAAAGACAGAGAGAGACACACACATAGAGACAGAGACACACACAGAGATAGAGAGACAGATACACAAAAAGGGACAGACACAGATAAACAGAAACACAGAGACAGAAAGAGACATAGAGAAAAACACAGAGAGACAGAGAGTGGGGGTGGGAAGGAAGATCTATTCCAAGACCTTTGGCTAGCAACTTTATGTGTCTAAGGATGACTTGTCTCTATGGCATGGCACACCCAAGCAAAGGAAAATTTTATACCAACAGCTCACAGTGAGTCTTGCTTTGGGCTACCCAGAAGTTTCTCGCAGCAAAGCAGGAAAATATGATCTCACCATAAAGACCTTCAGTGTTAGATCCACTGTGGGACTGCCAAACTGGAATTTAGAGAGAATCTGAGGTGTTGAAGAGTCACTCATTAAAGTAACCATGTTACTAACAGTCACGCTGTAAAGCGAGCTCTTTATAGATTGGACAATCAATACTACAAGGCTGTGATAGATTTTCTAGGTAACAGAATAAAATAAAAGAAATTGCATCTTACAGGGTCATTAACACTCAATAAGGATAAACTGAATTCTGTTCCTCTCTCCCTCTTCGGATAAGATCTGGAGGTGGGCTTGAAAAATGTTGGCAGTTCTGTCAGAGAAAGTGCAGCATCAAGTGACAGGGTCTAGAGAAGAGTCCTAGATGCATCAGCCACAGCACCTTGGGAGGAAAGGCAGCCAGGACAGGCCTTTCCCTTGCAAACACATAACACCTGAGAAAAATGAAAAGACACGCAAATGTACATTGCTTTTCTATGACCTAAGAATTTACTCTGTGCCAGCCTTTTAAATGCCTTCATTCAGGCTGTTGGCCCTTCCCCCAGATCTCTATATTTTGTTGCTATAAAACTAAGAGATGACATTGGGAAGTTACATATGTGTTGCAGTTTCTACAGCTCCTTTGGAGAAAAGGCACCGTGTAAATTCAATAAATAAATAAGTAAACACAAATAATAAAAATCACTGCCTCGGATTCTGCAGAGAGAGCGAAAAGTCCTCCTGTGCTTTAATCAGCGAGTCACCAATCATTATACGTGGTGGGAAGTACAAGCCTCGGGAACATAGTTAGAGCTAGCCTCACGTTAACGACACCTATTTGGGAGGCAGGATGTATGAGCAAGCCTCGGGAACATAGTTAGAGCTAGCCTCACGTTAACGACACCTATTTGGGAGGCAGGATGTATGAGGAACAAAAGACTTCTTTTTTTAAAAAAAAATCCTAATTGAATTATACCTGTTGGGATAGCTAAAAAAATAAATCTCCTTGCACCTCCCAGATAGAACCTGATGGGGAGGGGGAGGCAGGAGAAAATGAGAGGAGGGAGGAGTCTGGAGGGAAATCGAGACTGTGCCAGGATGCTGACACTTCCTGGGGTTTAATAGTGTTGGCCACAGAAAGCTTCTAGTTATCCCACCCAAGGTGTCCATGATGAGGGAGTGTCTTCCTATGCTGTTGATGGAAGTTGGTAGAGAAAAGCCTTATTTGGGACATGCTAGGTCAGAACACATTTTCTGTTGGGATTTTGTATGGCAAGTAGAAACAATAGAAATTAGGTTTCAGGGCTGGAGAGAGAGCACAGCCATTAAAGGCTAAGGCTCACAATCAGAACTTCAGACATTCTGTCTTTTAGAGGACTTAATTTCATGGGCTAATCATTACGAGCTAACATCCTCGAAGCGAACGCATCCCGAGTGCTTTCCCTTCTGCTTTGGTATCATGACCCCTGTGTTCCCTCTTCCCAGGGAGAAGTTGGATCTTTGCAAACCCGAGTCCTTCGCTAATCCTTTAAGAGTCATTTCCTGCAGGGATGGGGAAGATGGCTCGGCGAGGAAAAGCACTAGTCTAGCCAGCATGAAGACCTAGGTCTTAATCACCAAGAGTCCTTCTAGAAGCCAGGAGAGGTTACACATGGCTGTGATCCCAGGGCTTCCATAGCAAGATGAGAGACAAGAGACTAAAGAATCCTGGAAAGCAGGTCATGGGCCAGCAGGTCAGGCAAACGGTGCAGGGCCAAAACAACAAAAAGACTCTGCCCACGCCACACAAAGTAGAAGGCTAAGACCAAGAAAGACCAAGACCAGACAGAGATCGTCCTCTCTCTCATGCATGCTCGCATGCTCGCACACAAGCAAGCACGCAAGCACGCAAGCACGCACGCACGCACGTACGCACGCACGCACTTGCCCTTATTTCTTGCAGCAACTGGAAAGGGAAAAGAGGACTTACTAGATGACTATGAGTGAGAAGAAAAGTCAAAAGCAAAGGAAGGAGGGAGGGAGGCAAGAAGAGAATGAGCAAAAGGCCAGAGAAACCGAGAGCAGGGATGGAAACCGGGAAAGAACTCCTAAGCTTACGAATTTCATAGACTCGAAGGAAAAAAAATCTGCTCATATCTAAATCACTCTCGAATCCGACTCTGCTGATAGAATGAATGTCCTTGAGGTGGCCCAAGGAACGAGCAACATTCCTTCACTGACAATGAAGGAGTGAGTCCTTAGTCCACTTAGGGAGACTCCCAAGCACTTGTGACCTTAGGAGGGATGGGCTCACTAAGAGCCTGAAGCATGCCTAACAGTCAGGGATGAATAAGATGTAATTTTGTATTCAACAAACCTGTTACATATTCATTTCCAAATGTGCCTGGAATCAAACCAGCCCATCAGAGGTCAGCATCCCTCCCGTTCTATCCTTCACCCCGGGCTCACTTTTTAGATCTGACACATTTCTATTCCCCTCTCGACTCGCAATCTCCGGGCCTCTCAGAGAGGAGACATTTCCATTCTCAATCCTCTGCTCTCCGATGAGACAATTCTATTTTCACGGCACTGATTTAAGAAATACTGATAGGAAAAAAAAATACCTGGTTTGGCTTCCTACCTTCTGAAGACAAATCTTGGCTGTGCTAGGACATCGGTTAAAGTGATTGGGTGTCTGCTTTTAAAGTTAAGGCACTTCTCTATCCAGTCACTATATTTTGGGCTTTTGGGGTCATGTACCAGGACCAGTAATGATAGTGTGTTCTCAAACCGGAAGCCCCATTGTTCCGCCCAGTGGTGTGGACCCTGTCTTATACCTCGTCGCTGATGAACGCCACACGCATCCTCTTCTAGACCATCTTCATCTGAGGGGACAAACGATCAGGATTAGCATCAATGTGTGTGGGGTGTCCGTCTTTGTGCTCTTTCTTTTGAGGGTGTCACTTTTCTCTGAGCTAGCTCACTGACCCCCCTCTTTTTTCTTGTGTTTCAAAGCAGGGCTTTGCTATGGAGCCCAGGCTGGCTTTGGACTCATGATCCGGCTACCTTAGCCTCTCACGAGATGGGATTACAGGACTGTGCTATCATGTCAAGCTAAAACTCTCTCTTTTAAGGGAAGTTTAGTTAACACATTTTCTTCTTCTTTTTTTCCTCCCTTCAATTATCTATCACCTTCGAATGGGCCTCCTTTCCTTCCCCTTCTATTCACTGCTGGTTTTGAAATATTCTCAAGCACATGCTGTATACAGGGGGCTGCACTGGGAGCAGGGATATGTCAACAGGCGAGCATGCCAAGGTTCCTGCCTTGGTGGAACTTCCAACCCAATTCCAATTGGATCACCCAGGGGCTTTTCATTAGACCCGATTCTTTTCCTCAGTCCTCACTTCTCTTTGTGGAATTCTTGCTCGAATTTATTATCTCCAGGCAGACATCTTGGTTCTAGTCATCCAGAGTTAGTGTGTGTGAGTTAGTGTGTGTGTGTGCACGCATACGCGTGTGTGATTGGAAGTGGGTTTTAAACCTTCTGTGATAAATTAGTTTTTAACATACCCATTTTTGTTCAGCTGTTTCAGAGGCTGGTCATGAACATAGTTTTATGTTCCTAGTACTTGAGGCCTGTAGTTATTTTTATTTTTATTCTTTTACTGTTTTATTCAGCCTGCCTTGTTCATTAGAGTATAGGCTCCTGAGGGCAGATGGAATGGTCTTTTAATTAATTGCCGTGGATTCACAATGGGTTCTAAGTCAACGCTAGTGTCTAACTCCAGTCAAGTGTTTATATGGCCAAAGTCACAACGTGATTGGCCTGGATTTCTTACCCTCATTAACCTGTTTCATCTCAGGCTTCATACTATGTGATATAATGGGAACTGGATCTTTATTAAGAAAGTATGAGAATTAGAGCCACAGTTAATAATCCTGTTTTAGGAGATAGAATTATAATGCATGCGTACATAGATATGGGGCAGAAATAGGCTCACTGGTCTTCATAAACTAGCCCACCTCTCTTTTTCTCTTAGACACACAGTCAGATAGACAGACAGACACACACACACACAGCAGATAGGGCACAGTGAGCCGTGTTTTGAGAGCCAGTTACTCAGTTTTTCCTGAGCACACTGGATTTTCCTCTTCCTAGGTTTTATTTCACACACTCGCCTTGCTTCTCCACACATGGAATCTTTGAGGAGATGGCCAGGGGACAGTCTCCCTCTAGCTTTTTTAAGAATGTCAAATTTAAGCAAGTCAATCCTAAGGTCAAAGGGAAGAAGAAACAGCACAAAATGTGTTAGGCTACCACAGAGCATTAAAAATACCTGAGTTTAGAATGGGTTATGGTGGCGCTCACCTTTGATCCCACTTAGAAGGTGGGTCCGAGGCTAGCCTGGGCTTATGTGTAAGACCTTGTCTCAAACAAAGAAACACAAACCACTCCTTGATTTTATGTTTATAAAAATGATACTGTCCTCTGAAAAATAAAAATTAAGAATTTAACATTCTGGAGAAATAACTCACCTGTTATGGAGATTAAAGATACGTATTCACATGCTTGCCCTACAGTCCTGTAGAAAAGGGACCCCTTTAAAAAAACATTTTTAAAACTATCTTATGTGTATCAATATTTCACCTGTATACATGTACATGTACTACATGCGTGCTGGGTGCTTGCAGAAGAGGATATTGGATCCCCTTGGACAAGAGTTACAGACATTTGTGAGTGGCCATGTGGGTGCTGGGACTTGAACTCTGGTCCTCTGGAGAAGCAGTCAGTGCTAACTTCTGAGCCAGCTCTCCAGCTCTTTGAAGGATTCTTATTTCTGTGTAGAGTCCAGCAGTAAGGGCTTTCCCTGTCACCACCTGTACAGCTCCCCAACCCCACCTCAAGAACAAAGACATGAAGTAAGGGAGGTGTGACGTCAAATGTAGGGAACAGGGCACATAGAAACAAATCCCATTATTTTCACACCGTCTCTTCCATGCTCTCTTCTGCTTCTTTCTTCTGCTATGATGCTTTTCCTTTTTGCTATGGGGCTAATTTTTTAGGACTGACAATATTACAGTGTGAGTTGGTGCATCCTCTTTGTAGAGATGCCCAATAATTTGGGCAGCAATCGGCTGTTTTCCTGGTATCAGACAACTCAATCACAAGGACCAATAATGTGCTGTGCTTAGGCACTTTGCAGAGAGCGTTTATTCTACCTCTGCTGTCCGTGTGCAGCTGTCTCTTCCTCCCAAGTCTAATCAATGTAAATTGGGTCAGATCTCCGCTGTGAATTACAAATTGGATCCGAAGTTGGAGGGTCACCGTGCCTGCTACTCCACCTCCTTCCCACCGCCATTAGATGGGAAGCTACACCAAAGATCTTTTCTAAATAAATCAGACTTTATTGTAAAACTCGGCCACTGACGAGACATAACCTCATTAGCATTGATTTTAAAATAAATTATTGAAAGTGGCCTGCCTGCTCTTTGCATTTGTAAAAAAGGAGAATGTAAATGTATTTGCAATGATAAAAATGAAAACTAAAACCTGACTCCTTTATCCTTTCAGGCAATAGCACTTAATCTAGTCATGATAAAAAAAAAATGGAAAAAATAGAAATGTGCATTATTCAGTCTCAGAACAGACTCTCTGATTTCCACTGTAACTTTGGAGTCACCTAGAAAGAAAGAAAAATGTTGGCCATTAAGTATGTGTATTATTTGCCACTGTTACCAGGCCTTACAGGGATGGATGTGAACGGGAAGCTCCGATCCCCCACTTCTGTTCTATCTGCCTTGTCTTCTGGCGGCTGAAACTGGCCTTCCATTAAGAAGCCTTCTTACTGCTTGGTGTGGGCTGTGTCTCAGGGGTCACTGCAGGACTGAGGCTGAGTCCTTCACACAGTGGAGGACTGAAGATGGGGGTCACACAGTAGAAGAAGCCCCTTCTACAGCTGGTTAATGTTGAGCAATGCTCTCGGTACCTTCTTAGACTGAGAGAGTTTGATACAATTGATTTTGGACCCTTCTGTGAAACCAAACTGGCATCTCACAAGGTCCAAAGTCAAGACAGTTGCCATGTAACCGAAATTGTTTTTTTAAAAAAAGGCTTTCTGCTTAAAAATACAGGTGGGTTAAGGAGTCAAATTTCTTGTTTTTTGTTACTGTGTAAAAAGAAGCTTTATTTTTACTTATTAAGTGTGTGTGTGTGTGTGTGTGTGTACATACATATATGCTCACATGTATCAGGGTGTATGTCAGAAGTCAGAGGATAACTTGGGAGAGTTGCTTCTCTCCTCCTACCATGTGGGTCATATGGAAAGCATCTTTACCTACTGAGGCATCTTGTTGGCCTAAGGTTTTCATTTTAAAAGATCATTTTGAAAAAAAAATATTTCTTTAGGTTAAAGAGCTCATTGGACCTCTTTATAAGAAGATTCTTAGGCATTCTGGCATCACATCCATGGAAATACATCTTTATTTAAGAGAGAATTAAAATTTATGTGCTAGCTCAACTTTAAACAGTAATAGATTATAATGGTCCTGGCTCCTAACGGGGCATATGGGACCCCAATCTCACACAGGCTTTAAACAAATTAACCTCTGAAGATTACTGCCCACTTATTACATTAAATGCTCTACTTGATCCCCAAATATCTCATCTCAGTTGGGAAAACAGTTGAAGAAGATTCTGTTAAGTGTGTGAACATGTGAGGAAACCATGGGGCATCACAAATGAGCATCAGTATCCGGAGAGTCGATTTCAATCAACATTCTTGGCACAGTGTCAGGGACACTAATGAGAGGCTGAGCGGAACAGGACACTGAATCCACCTAGGAGGGACAGTGAGGTGCTAGCTGCTTCTGACACCAGAATCCTTTCTGAAGTGTGGCTCTGGCACCTACCCCTGGCATTCATGAAACTGATACCAGAAAGAATAACAGGAGAAAAAAATTGATTACGTTAAAAGGAGGGAAAAGCAGTTTCCCCAACAGTGACAACAGCTTTAAGGAAATGGCTAATGTATTAATGTGCAGCCAGATGTCAAGGTGCTCTGGTGACAGATGCAAGAGGAATACAGGGAGGAGACTTGATATGTAAGGGGACCATCCAGAAGAATAGGAATGAACCACTCCTTGGCATGCCCAGACAAGCCATAGATGCCTGTATGCTGTAGCATCTCTCTAGACAACAATAAAACACATAGCAGGAGGCTAAGAACACATCTCTTCTCTGTGTATTGGGTAATCTCAACTGTTACCTCCCAACACGTCCATCCTATCTCTATGGTATGGCTGATCTATAAGACATCAAGCTCAGTTTGTGCTAATACCAACAGTTGGAATGTACAGAATTTAATTCTACAAATAATAAACGAGTACCTACTAACTGGGGAGAAAGACAAGACTACAAATCAGCATGGTCAGAGGTAGAGCTTAATTGCAGTGGCATCTGAGAAGATGTCACATCTGAGGACACCTCTGACAGAATGTGCAGCACTTCACAGGCAGAGACCAGAGGAGCATGCTAGGTAGAAGACATAGTTAGCATAGATCCAGCTGGCCCCCATGGCTGGCAGTTGCTCAGAATGTGAGGTAATAGACAGACAGACAGACAGACAGACAGACAAGATAGAGCAACCAGGGATGAGGAAGAAAAGAGGCCAAGAGACTAGAAAGAGGCTGGGGACCATACTGACTCTTGTTCATATATTTTGTGTTTTGGGCTTGGGTTTGTTTTGCATTTTCTTTCTTTAGATCTTTAACTATCACTGTTCCTTCTTCCTATGTGTCTGGACAACTATTCAGGGGGAAAGATGATCCTACAGAATGTTGTTTCTATTTGTCTCTAATTAAAAAAAAGAGAACTAGTTATATGCTTTATTATAAAGCAGTTTGGCTTCTGGGTCTGAAATAACCTCTGGGGCAGTGTTACTGCTCCCTAATGGTCTCAGATGCCTTACTGGCTTCTACCTTTGAGGCCCTAGACAATGCAGGACCTGATAAAAGATGTCTTATATGGAATTTTGAATCTAGGACTGTGCTCATCTGCAGAATAACTTCAAAAAAGATGTGAAAATGTTTAGAAAAATGTTTCTTTTTAAAGATTTATTTTATTATATGTGTGTGTGTGTGTGTGTGTGTGTGTGTGTGTGGTGTGTGTGTGTGTGTGTGTGTATGTGTGTGTGATGTGTACAGCATGCAGAGGTTTCTATGGTGGCCAGAAGAAGGTATCTAGTCCTCTGGAGCTGGAGTTGTGAGCTGTCCAAGGTGGGTGCTGGGAACTGAACCCTGGCCCTATGGAAGAGCAAGTGCTCTTAACCACTGAGCTACCTCTCAGGTCCTAAACCTCTTATTTTAACATCTGGCTTCATACTGCATTTAGGCCATTCTCTGAAGTTTAATCTACTAGAAATGAAATCCTAAAACTCAAGGGCCCTCATATCCTCAACAGGAATCTCAGAATCCTAGTGGATACCGACTTTGAGGCCATATTTTCCAGGACTAACTTTAAAAAAAAAAGATTTTATTATTTATTATGTATACAGCATTCTGCCTGCATGTGTGCCTGCAGGCCAGAAGAGGGCCCCGGATCTCATTACAGATGGTTATGAGCGACTATGTGGTTGCTGGGGACTGAATACAGGACCTCTGGAAGATCAGCTAGTGTTCTTAACCTCTGAGCCATCTCTCCACCTCCCAACCCTGCACATCCCTCTCTTTCTATTTATGTATTTTATGTATATGGGTGCTTTGTCTACATGTATGTCTGTACACCAGAAGAGGGCATCAGATTCTATTATAGACTCTGGTGAGGCACTCTCTGGGTGGGTACAAGGAGATGAACTCAAGACCTCTAGAAGAGCAGCCAGTGTCCTTAACAGCTGAGTCATTTCTCCAGCCTAGACTAACTTTTTTTTCTGTGGTCTGGCTGAAAACCTTGAGTGCTCTGGCTTCCCTCTTGCGGACAAGAGTGCTAGCCATACCATAAACGCTAATTACCTCATGACTAAAGGGATATCACACATTAAATTTGATGACCCATATATTATTTTGGTTAGGAGAACTTTTTTTATTGACTTGGTATATTTTGCATATTCTTTTCAGTCTTCTAGATGCCTGTTTATATTACCCTTGGGTTGGGGAAGCCTCACATGCATGGGTTTCCCCATAGGCACAGCGAGGGCTCCCATAGACCCCACCCCAAAAAGCAGGACCAGCATGCCTGCCAACACTAAACACCCTTCACAAAGCATGCTCACCTGTTATAATGAAATGGACGCTAGAGATTCAAGCCATTTGACTACTGGTGAACGTGCAGTGCTTGAACAATCCAGTGTTACTATTGGCTGTCCCTCCACCTGGCACCTAGCCTCTTGGTTTAAAACAGGACTGGAGCAGAAGGTATTCTCCACGTTCCATCTGTTCAGGATTTTTGGGTTCACGCCTGCTTCACCCACATAGCCGCAAGTGCCTAGCTGGACTGTCTTGGGTCTGGCTGGTGAGGGTGGGACCTAGCCATCCCCCAACTCTCTGAGGAAGTAATATTTCCTATAAAACGGCACCAGGTCCACACTACGGTTCCATGTGGAGTGTCTCTCTACCCGTGCTCCGTGCTAAGTGCTGTTCTCACATGCTGTTTTTCAGTAGGTAGTGGCTGGCATGCAGGGGCCTTGGGTGGTGGGGCTGGAGGGAGGATGATGCTGGTCCCCTCACATTCCTTCTCTGTTCCTTTAGGACTGTGGTGTGGCACATGCAGAGCACACACAGCAATTTCAGAAGCACCAATGGTGGGGTGCTAGAATGCTTGGATGATGGAGACATGTGGCTAAATACTCACGTGATAATGAAATGACTATATACCTCCCCGCCCCATGCTGTCTGTAAGAACTGTGCTGGATATCGGCTTTTGTTCACTGGATGCACAGACAAGGTAGCTGCTGTCCCTCTAACCTGTGGACAGAGATCCCACGTTTTCTAAAGTGTGGCTCCCTCAAATTTCTGTGGGCCAATTTCTTGTGGGCACAGGGTTAGCTGTTTGAGGAGGCTGACTCAACTCCATGCCCCTGGGTCCACTCTTGTAGATAACCAGTGGGAGGTTTGGAGGAGTTCCCAAGACCTCAGCTGTGCGTAGGGGTGTAGGAGGCGGATGAACTTGGTCACTCAGAGGATGGTGGTATATTCCTTGCTTCTGACCCTGAGTTAGGGGGTGGCCTCAAACCCATCCTGTTTTCTCTTTCCCTCCACTCCCCATCCCGGAGCATCAGTCTCCTCCTCCCTGGCTTCTTTGGGCATCATACACTTTTTCTTTGCATCCCAGAAGGCACAGTGACTTGGGGGAGATGCTCCCCAGAACATTCTTCCAATAGTTGGAACCTAAGGTGGAACCTCCCTCGGATCTTTCCCTGAACCTGGGCTGGCGTGAGCTCTCTAGGAAGATTCTGGCCAAGTGTAGCTCCTTTTAGGGAGTGTGGTGAATTAGATCCGTTTCTGCACCCTGCTGTTGCAATGGCACAGGCTGTGGAGGAAGATTCTCAGAGGAGCTCTGTTTTAATGTAGCAATTTGATTCAATTTTCCACTCTATAAAATTACCCATCACTGCTCGTTGCTTCCTAACAGACACCTTCACTCTTAATTTAACAATCCTATCGAATTCTGCCAGGGAAATTGGAAAAATTTATCACCTGTGAAATTTTATTTTCCTTTGGTTGTATCTGTTTTTGTAAAACTTCATTAACGACGATGACTTGCTGAGGAAATTATCATTTTTTTTTAACTTCAGACACAAGAAATGGCTCGACCTCAACCAAGATATCATTTGCATAATAAAACACAACAACAACAACCAAAAAGGCTGGGGAAGTGGAGTCTGGCAGAGGCTGGAGGACCGAGGGGAAGGACTGAACTCTCGGTGGGGCTGTGTGGACACAGACTTGCAACTTAACTCAGAGAGCAATGACGTGGCTTCTTTCTGAGGCAAGAGACAAATAGGGAATGCCTACTTAAGAGGGCTCGGCCCTCCTCTTAGGGAGCCTTGAAATGCAGTTATTTACTGATGATGCTTTTAGCAAGGGGCCCTGTCTTCAGGGGCCTTAGTGTTGGATTCACCTTAGTTCCCAGGTTCATCTGAGATGCAGGTTTAAATTGCTATAAATTTTGGCTTAATTTGAATTTCTTAGCAGAGTACTAAACTCCTGGCAAGTTTCCACAGGAGCACTTCCTGAACGGACTGGAAGATTCAACTTTCCCATTGTCTAAATACCTCGCAATTAAAAGGCTCAGGCTTTGGTTTTCCAGTCTGACCCCCACTGTGTTCTGTACTGCTCACCAGCTGCTGGTTCCCCACCAGAAGTGGCTCTGCGGGAGCAGTGATGACTTTGCATTTTCTGAGATGCTAGAGAGCCTGCCTTCTGAAGGAGAGGGCTCCAGAGTCAGCCTGTCCTAGCAGGGGGAGAGGGGAAGCAGAGTAGGTTTATTCTTAGGAGATGAGAGTTGACTCAGGGCGATAATGAGTTGTGTTCTATCGGAATTTTACTGTATCACTAAAATGGTTTGTTGGCATCTGCACAATCCAGACTTTGGAACTCCTCTCTACCTTTGAGACAATGCTTTGTCCTTCTCCGGATTCTACAGAAAAATAAGCCAGCGCTAGACAGAGTTATGAGAGACGACCTCCAAACTCACAGTAAGCCAATGGAAACCAGAGGGAGTGGTCTTAGCCTTTAACCTTCGTAAGTGACGTCACATCACGTGGTACAGCTGAAAGAGGATTTCATCTTGTTCCCAGAACACCGTAGAGCCACAGGGCTTCCTACACCATCTCTTTCAGACAGTGAAGTTTAGGTGGGGATATCTTTGGGGGCTGTTTCATTCTTCCACTAGGTCAAGAGTTTTTGCAAGTAGCCGGAGGTGGGTAGTTAGCCGATGAAGTATCTCACCTGGTAGGACTTCATAAATGTCCTCTTCTTTGTCTGTAGGTTCAGGCAAGGCTGCGGCTCTGCACTGGGAACCAGACCTTGGGGAGTCAAAGCTATCGATGTCATTGTACATTTCTTCCTCTTCTTTCTTTTCTTCCTCCTCTTCCTCCTCCTCCTCTTCAAAGGGAATGGTTAAGGAGCTAAGATCTGCCGCCGAAGCAAAGATAAGAATGAGTAAAGATAGAAAAAAGAGAAGAAGGCTGGGAAAGGAGGAGGTAAGGGAGGAGGGATGAGAATAAAACATGTCAGGAGAAAATGAAACACTAGGTTAAGGGCTGTTATTTCTAATGCGGGCCTCGGTGGCAGGAAATCTACAGAAAAGGCCAGCCCAGCACTGCATCAGATTTAACCCACCAACATAAATCCTCCCTTGGCAATAAAACGTGGTCAGGATGAAGCAGCCCTGAAAAGTATGGGTGTGTGAATGAAAACGCAAGGTGAAGGGAAGAAAATAGGCCAGACGAGGCACTGCCTGGGTGCCATGCTCTGCTCACCAAGCAGAAAACCGGATGGGTGAGTGATGGCTCTAAGTTGGCTAGGGTGACAGAGACAGGGCAATATGGCGGGAGTCTGAGCTCTCAGCCGCTCATCTCCCGGTGGTCTCACTGTGGAATTCACACAAATTTGTTTGTGGAGAGGGAAGAAAAAAATGGGAAAAAGCAGCAGAAGGAAAGAAATGGGGACATGGGAAAACACAACAGTGGTGTGACCGGACGGAATGGCCAAACAGCAGTTACTACGTCCTTTTACGGCCTGGCTGACCTTAAAGTGGGTCACTGAGGAGAGAGTGTTGAGCCATTAGCACTGGCGAGCAAGCACCAGGGCGGGGAGAAAGATTGGTTTCAATTCTGGTAGGGGGCTGGGAACTTGATCTCTGCCTTCAGCTAGCTCCCAGAAACCCTCACTGAGGGGCCTCTGCAAGGACCGGTGAGCACACTGAGCATACTCTGGGGAAAGGAAGGATGGAGAGACAGGAACAGCTCATTTCAAAACACAATAAAACTGTTTGGCTTGATTAGGCTTTTAATAAAGATTTCCCAACAAATTTCATCTGAATTCTGGCGCCTTCATAGGAGGAAAGGATCAAAGGCACATTTGCGGCTTAAACCATATGTTATTATTTTGTTTGTTTTAAAATAAAATGGAATGAATAATTTCTTCAATGTGAGATTCTGAAAGTACCACAGGGTACAGCTCAATAAAGCTGCTTTGAGTTTTATTGAGGTTTACACACTTAGGGGTATATTACACGCATAAATCCTGGGCACCTAGATGAGAGTGTACCCTGTAGCCTCACCATCAACGCTTGTGTCTGCCTAGTTCCAGCCTATTATACGTGATGCTGCTGGTGCACGCAGTAGTTTGTTTTTGTGATAGCAGAGGTAAGACTGAGGAAAAGAGGCAATTCTTGTAATTAAGGCTGGGGCGCTTTCTTCTTTTTATCCACCATAAAATCTTACAGCGGAATAATAAACCGTGATGAGAAAGCTTGGTGTTTTTAGGTGGATGTGTTTCTCCTTGAGTCATGGGCCATGTATGGAGCTGTTGTTCTTGCATCTTACTGAGGCAGGGTCCTGACATGATGGTGTATGAAGGTCCTCTTAGGCCAAAGCTACCTGCTTGGCTACTCTCAGGGGGATGGCTTCCTGGGCCACTGTGGCTGCTGCAGGCTGGCCAGCAGAGGGCACTCTAAGAACAGCCGTTTGACCTCTTCAGGCAGGGCCATCCCAAGGCAAGGTATATTTTATTGTGGCTTGGGAAACTACCACTTATTTTTAATGTCCAGTGTCCCTGACAGCCACCTAGATGAGTTTTAAAACTCAACTTTTAAACAAAAAGGAAACAATAAAAGAGGAGAGGAAGGACTTGGATCTCAATGACATGATGGCTATTATGAATTAATTATCTTTCCAGGATAAAAGGGGTGGGGTGGGGGAGGACAGGGACCTGAGCTAAGCAGCTTTCTGAACCTCTCCCAAATGATGATTAGTGGCTTGTCTACACGGTGTTGGTGGGTAGGCTATGACATCAGAGGTGACCTCCAGGCAGATGGTTGCCTTGTCTGCCCATTCATACAGGATACTATTTGTTGTTATATTTAAAGCCCATGTAGGGTCGGTAAGAGAGCCAGGAGAAAAACACACACAGAAACCTTTAGCTTAAACTCTTAAAATGTAACTTCACATGCAAGCCCACTCGAGTAGCACATATTTTTAAAGTGATGCCTCTTACCTTTTAATAAGAAACTTATTTGATCCACCCAGTCTCTGGCTTCAGCTGGACTAAAAGCTGTAAACTAGAGAAAAACAAGAGGATTAATGTATCCGTCACTAAAAATGCTCGAGCCTGCTGCTAGACAGACTCCAAGGAGCCTGAGTTTCAGAATCGAGCTCGGACTTCAGGCTTCTCTCTGTCTTCTTGCCATTCAGAAACAAAAACATCAGACCATCTCACGCAGCCGCGCTGTGCCTTCAGCAATTCCACACACCGGAGAGAACAGCTCTTTATGTCCAGATGTTGATGTCCATGTATACCCACTCACTCAATTACTTCTTCATCAAAGATTTGTTGGAGAAAAGTTTATGGAAAGAGAAGCAAAGTGGCATAGATGTGAGACCAGAATATTACAAGGGAGGTGCCTTTGGCAGCAGGGGGATTTGTTTTTCTTTTATTTTTCCTTTCTTTTCTTCCTTTTAAAAAGATTTTATTTATTTTATGTATATGAGCACACTGTAGCTGTCCTCAGACACACCAGGAAGAGGGCATCAAATCCTGTTACAGATGGTTGTGAGCCACCATGTGGTTGCTGGGAACTGAACTCAGGACCTCTGGAAGAGCAGTCAGTGCTCTTAACCACTAAGCCACGTGAGCATGAAAACATCATGTGTGACATCTAAGCAGATCAGGTGGGCTGAAGTACAAGCACAGGTGGGGAGCAGAGGCTCAGGGCAGGAAGGCTCTGACTAGACTTAAAATGTAGGCAACAGGAAGCCACTACCAGTTCCAGCAATGACTGTGGGTGATTCTTTCAGAAGCTGTGGCTAGGAGGAGTTTGAATGGGGGTGTCTGGGGACTGGAGACCAATTAGGAAGCTGTTTAAGTAGCCTGCTGGGTGAAGTGACAGGAATTTAGCTACTGCAATGGCTGTGGATTAAATAAGGAGAGGAAGAAAGGGCCAAAGGAAGGCTCCACGGCCCAGAGGGATGGTTTGGATTCAATGGGCCAGAGATAGGCATGAACACAGACCACATTCCGATTCGCCAAACAGAGCAGTCAAGCACTGACCCTTTGTAATCTTAAAAATGAATCAACTTAAAATGAAAGAACATTTTAGTTCTATAGTCATTAGGGTTTGATAAGGGTTCATGGTGCGTAAGAAACGTAGGTTCATGCTTTATTGTTATTCTCTCTCTCTCTCTGTGGTGTGTGTCTGTATCTCTGTCTGTGTGTGTGTGTGTGTATACACACACAAGCAAGTATATATATTCTTTTGTATGCAAGCAGAGGCCAGAGGAGGGCGCTGGTGTTTTCCTCTTTTGCTATTCCCTTTGAGGCAGAGTGTCTCCTAGAACCTTGAACTCCTGGGTTTTTGGCTCAGCTGACACTTGGCAGGCCCCAGCGATCCTTGGGTCTCTCTCCCCAGTGCGTACATAAGCTGTGCATGAGACCGCGCTTGTTACATGAGTTGTGTGGATTTGAACTCAGGTTTTCATCTGAATCATCTCTCCAGCACAGTCACAGTTCCTGAAAACCACACAGTTCTAGAAAGTGTTTCTATGGAGAATGAACTTCTCACATAAAACTTTTATCGGGATATTTATTTTATCTGGATAAATATTATAATTTAATAACAAAAACAACTTAGAAACAGGCTGAGTTCATATATCTGTTGCATAATGCAAACATGGAAAACATTTTCACTCTGTAGTCAGAATGTTTGTTTTTTTTTTTGGATTTCATGTAAGGACATCAGGATGAGCAGTTGGAAAACCAGACAGAATAGGGGCTGTAGCTGTGAAATCAGTGTGTGTGTGTAAAGAACTGGACTGTAGGTTGCAATAAACAAGAATCTCACCTGTGGGACGAGAGTGGAAAGACAGGAGAGGGGTAAAGCTATAAAAGACAAGTATAGGGGGTATCAAGGAAGAGCATAGCAACAGACAAGAGGAGAAGGCATTGCGTAGCAAACAAAGGAGCAGGAGAGGGTGGGGGGGGGAGGAGAAATGAGCGGGTAGCACAGCGGGTGGACTTCATCATAGCACCAGCCACCTTAGCTCACAACACAAGGAGAATACCAGGCTTACCTCATAGCTGCGCCTATCCTGGGAGGTCAGTTCAAAGCAGGATTCTTTCTTGGAATCTTTTCGCAGGTGAGGGGCCATCCGGATATTGTAGCCCTTAATGAGGAAGGTCCCTTTGGGCTGCTTGCCTGCAAAACAGCAAAGCCCCCCTGTGTCTCTAGAGAGGCACAACAGCAAAGGGAAGGCATCTTTTCTGGGATGGAAAATAAAACGCGCCAAACAGCTGTTGCATCCTCGAGGAATCACAATTGTCTAAGAAAGGTTATTAGGGTTGCTTGGGAAGAAGCTACTGCCACAGTCTGACAGAGATCAGCACCAAGCAAGGAAAATGCAACTCAAAAGGCTATTTTACCAAGAGTGTACGAGGGAGATGGGGGTGTATTAGAATGTTAAGAGATCTACAATAACAGGCAGCAGGAGTTATTACTGCAGTGGGAGAGCCTGTACAAGTGGGGCTCCTGAAAGCTATTACAGAGCCAGCCCTTATTACCAGGCCCAGCAGAGTTCACTTTCAAGGAGGGGCGGGGCAGCACAGCTTGGTATTCGCAAGTCCTGGAATCTCCTTCCATACCTTACCTCAAATATCCACCCCCTCCCCTGCAGGTCAGGTGGGAATTTATGCTAGAGGAAGGATAATTCAAATGTAGCATCCTCTTCCTAGAGATAAACTGGGAAGTAACCAAGTAGTGTTGGTATCTTCAGAGGATGAGGAAGGTGACAGACAGACCTCAAACGAAGCAAAGGAGGCACCATACTGCCTGTCACTTCCGTTGGCAGGGGTGGGGGGAAGTCCAACATTTATTCTAAAACAAAATACAACACTGGACTCTTCCCTGTTTTCCCGAGAGAGGTTGTGTCTGTTTTGTCGCTCAGACAGAGGGCAGCCACTGCAGGGTCTGGGTGGTGGGGGTGCTCTCTATCAAGTGGAGTGAATTGATATTGAATCTTTCCCTTACCTCGTTTAGTGCTGAAGATTGAACCCAGGGCCTCAGATGCCTTTGGATGATAATGATGGCAAATGAAGGACAAACTGGGGAAGGGGGGAGGAAGAGGGAGGCAGGAAAGGAAGAAGATGGAGAGGGAGTGGGAGGGAAGAAGATGGAGAGGGAGAGAGAAGATGAGGAGGGAGGATGGGAGGGAGTGAAGGAGACCGAAAAGGTTCTATTCTTACCTGGTTGAGCTAAAAGAAACACTGTAACTACGGAGAAAATGTCCTGGGTACAATAAGGAGGAAGTGTCCAGAGGGGAGCCATGCAACAGTGCTTTCTGACACCAGAATCTTTTTTGTTAAAGTATCCCTCCTTGTTCTAACTGGCCACTAAAATGTTTTGTTGTTTCTTTGGTCACCAGATTTTATTTCACCCTGACGGCAAAATGGTCAATAAAAGTCTCCAAGCCTCTCCCTCTCTCGTCCCCCCCCTCCTCTCTCACCGTAAGACCCAAGTTCTGAATGAACACACGCGACTTTGTACCCAGAGACGACAACACTCGTCGCCATTGTTTTTTGAAGACTTATTTGTTTTTATGTTGTGTGTATGGGTGGTTTGCTTGCATATACATATGTGTACTATGTGCGTGTCTGGTACCTTCAGAGGCCAGAAGAGGATGTTACACATGGCTATCGGTTACCACATGGGTGCTAGGAACTAGGGTCCTCTGCAAGGCAATAAGTGCTCTTAATCACTGAGCCCTTTCACCAGTCCCCCAACTACTTATTTAAGCACAAGGGAAATGAGGAACAGTTTCACAGTAGTCCAGAGAGCATAGTAGTTTGAAGAATAGAATGGCTGTTGGCCTTGTAGGTCTAGAATTAATTAACTAATTTGCTAATTAATTAATTAATCAATCAAGTTCTTGAGTCTCATAGTTTTTGAGACAGAGTCTCATAGTTCAGGCTAGCCTTTAACTCCCTACATAGCTGAGGATGGCCTTGAACCTCTGACCTTCCAGATTCTACCTTCTGAGTGCTGAGGTCACAGGCATGCACCATCACACTGGTTTTATGCAGGGCTGAGGATCAAACCCAGGGTTTGCTGGGCATGCATGCCTGGCAAGCATCTTCCAATGGAGCTGGACCACTAGCCCAGATCTAGAATTTAGGGGAGAACTTGTATTTGCTGGACTTGCAACTGGGCTGGAGTTGGAAGGACAGGGTATTTTTGTTGCTGAATTTTCTGAGCATGCCACGGTCAGCTCCACTGGGATGCAAGATGGCTGCAAGGTGAAATCCGTGCCACCGTAGCAGGGGGAGTGGTAGAGCGAGGCAAGTGCCAGGAGCCAGGGACAAATCCTAAGGGTCCCAGGTCCCTAGCAAAACTGCAGCTCCCTGGTTGTATTAAAGGTGCAGGGAGACTGTTCTCCAGGCTAGGAGAATACAGTTTAGAAAGGAGGTGAAGGAAATCAGTACATGCTGGAGAGTAAATTAGAGGCCTTTTTAGTAGAGCTACCACTGGCCTCTGCATGAAGGTGGGAGAGCCCAAGGGAGCCCCTTCCTACCCTTATCTCCTCTTCCTATTGATCCCAATCTGTGGAAGGGTATCCTCTCCCAGGGAGTTGGCCTTGTGGCAGTTTGTATAAGAAAGGCCCCCATAGACTCAAGTGTTTGAATGCTTGGTCCATAGGGAGTGGCACTATCAGGAGGTGTAGCCTTTTTGTAGTAGGTATGGCCTTGTTGTGGTCTTATTTAAGGCCAGTGTGTCACTGTGGAGGAGAGCTTTGAGGTCTCATATATGCTCAAGCTAGGCCTAGTGTGGCCTTCATTTCTGCTGCCTATGGATCAAGTTGTAGAACTCTTCAGCTCCTTCTCCAGCGTGCTGCCATGCTTCCCACCGTGATGATAATGGACTAAACCTCTGAAACTGTAAGCCAGCCCCAATTGAACGGTTTCCTTTATAAGAGTTGCTTTGGTCACGGTGTCTCTTCATAGCAATAGAACAGTAAGACAGCACTCATTTACAATAATAACTTTTAATGTGTTTTTATTTGTAGCTCCCTCCAATTGTGTTTAAATCCTCTCTCTCTTCTCAGGGACTGAGCAAGTGTGTTCAACATGGATGAGAGATCTTCTAGGCATAGCACGGGGTGGCTCATTAAGAAACTGCCTCTTAGTCAACACTTGGCTGCTGTTGCTGTCATCTGGCTGAAGAGTGTCTCTTGGGTACAATCACCATTTAGATTTGAACATTTCATGGCTCTAGGGACGCCTACTAGACCACTATCTCCCAATAGCCATGAACGTGCTCTTAGAGAGTTTGAACCTTAAGGTTCTAGTTCTGGGCCATTGTTAATACCAGTTAAATCTTTCTCAGAATTATTTATTATTATTATTATTATTATTATTATTATTGTTATTATTATATTACTATATTATTTTGTGTGTGGTGCTAGGAATTGGGTTCAGCGCCTTGTGTACACCAGGCAAGTGGTCTGCCACTGAGCTGTATCTCCAGTTCGTGGCTTTGGAGACAGAAGCTTACTATATAGCTCAGGCAAGGCTTGAACTTGTGATCCTCTTGCCTCAGCTTGATTGGAGGAGTGTGCTACCATGCATTGCTGTTGTTTTGTCTGAATATCTTTGTGTGTGTATATGTGTTCTCACTTATGCATGTATGTATGTGTGTGGTCCCATACGTGAATGCAGGGGGTATGCATGCCACAGTGTATACACACGGAGGTCAGAGCACAGCCTTTGATGTCCGTTCTTGTCTTCCCTCTGCTCAAGGTGTGGTTTCTCATTTGCTGCTGTGTATGTCAGGTTAGGTGGTCTAACAGTTCTGAGGGATTCTCCTGTGCTTGCTTTCCATCTCACTGGGATGTCTTTTCCTTCCCCCTTCCCGTAAGATTTATTTATCTATTTTTATGTATATAAGTATATTTATATTCATGTTGCTCTCTTCAGACACACCAGAAGAGGGCATCAAATCTCATTACAGATGGTTGTGAGCCACCATGTGGTTGCTGGGAATTGAACTCAGGACCTCTGGAAGAGCAGCCAGTGCTCTTAACCACTGAGCCATCTCTCCAGAGCCTTACTGTAAGAGCGCTGGGTTACAGAGCTGTATTATCACTTTAGCTTTACATGGACTCTGGAGGTTTAAACTCAAGTACTCATGGCTATGCAGCAAGCACTTTGTCCATTGAGCCATTTCCCAAGCTTTCCTTTCATACATTTATTTTTTTCAATGAATGCTAAACCATTTTGATAATGTGTGATGAGTCATAATAGACTATAACCCTTTGATATGTTGACCACACTTAGTGTTTAAGGAGGGAAAAAAATGCTAAATTGGCCTGTGTTATTGGCGGTAGGCAAGGCATTAGTTACCCAAGCCTATTTCTTCCCTAAGCATGTCTCGCTATGGGTGTTAGTTAAGGACCGTTATCTAGAGATCTAAGTGCTTGAGAATTTACGAAGTGCTTGTATCCAGGAGTGAGATGCCGCTGTGTAAATGGAACACACTTACTTTTCTCATTAGCATAGTAGAGGAAGAGCCCTCTGCTGATAACACACCAGCGCTTCTGCCACTCCGACCCAAAGAAGCTATGATCTACACAGAGGAGTGAGAAGAGACGTAAATTCAGGTAACTAGAATCGCCCAAGAGCCTGTAAAATCCAACAACACAGTCGAGTGGGTTATTGTTTTATTTCCCAGGTTAATGGACTGTAAAACCCTCCTTTTCACTCCCACAGGTTATCCCATATTGACTGAGTGGCGAGGATGAACTCCATCACAGACCCAGGCTGGTAGGAAGGCTGCTTCTCCGTGCTTTTGTGGCTGTCTTTTTTATCTAGCTCGCTGTCTATCCTTTAGGATCAAACCTCTCACCCTGCCGTTTTCAAACTTCCTATGATATCTTTGTTTGTTTTTGGAATCATACAGTCTTACTGGGTAATCCAGGATGGCCTGAAACTCATTGGCTGCCATGTCGTCTGAGCCTGTCTATGTGCTGGGGTTATAGGCATGGCTGCCATCTTGTCCGAGCCTCTCTAGTGCTGGGGTTATAGCATGCAGTACTATACCCACTATCATCCTTTCTTTACGTGTTGCTTTCTCTGAACAGAAATGATACTACAGGCCCTCCAGGCCAAGGCCATAAGAAGAACTTTCTTTTTCTTCTTCTTTTTGAATTTCTATGGTAAACCAATTTGCCTGTTGAGCATTAAAACAGGCATTCTGATCTCTGTAGTATCTATTGTAATGAAATGGCTGAAAGGGTTAAGAGTTGGGCATCTGTGAAATTTGGAAGCAGGCTGCTTTGCATGTGGAAAGACTGACTACATCTTAACCAAAATATTGTCACTTTTTTTCTTTTTTTTTGAGACAGGGTTTCTCTGTGTAGCCCTGCTTGTCCTAGAACTCACTCTGTACTCCAGACTGGCTTTGAACTAATAGATCTGTCTTTGCCTCCCAAGTGCTGGGATCAAAGGTGTGTGTGTGTTTCCTTCCTTCTGCTACAGTTTGACTCTTTATAGGAGCACACTGAGAGATGAGGACAAGGATATCATCCATCCATCCATCCATCCATCCATCCATCCATCCATCCACCCACCCATCCATCCACCCACCCACCCACCCATCCATCCATCCATCCACCCACCCACCCACCCACCCATCTCATACAGATCCACCTGTCTGTGCCTCCAGAGTGTTAGGATTAAAGGTGTCTATACCAAAACTGGCCAGAACCAATTCCAGTGAAGCCCACAGTATGCTGAAGAGTTGAGCTTTCTCTCTTTCGTTGACACACACTAACGCCACATTTACTTCCTGTCCTGGCTTTTGCCTTATATGGGCCTAGCACAGTCCTGGGCCCCAGGACGACATCCTACACGTTAGCAGCATCTCCTCCTGTCTTCCCTCCTTCCCTCCTTTTTTCTGTCTGTCCCTCCCTCCCTCTCTTCCTCCCTCTTCTTCTCCTGAAATGGTCTGCCCTTCATGGGTCTGATTAATACCTTTGCTTTTCTTCTCCAAATATCCTTGCTTGATGACGTTATCCAGCTCTTGAGCTCCTCTTAAGATGTCTTCTATTCCTAAAAGGTACGATGGTAAAATGCTTCGTTTAAACCTGATAGAATTTCCATCTAAGCTACTTTGGATTATTCACATTAATGATGGGCTACAGAAGGGTAATTGTTTAAATGTAGCACAAAATACAACAATTTCTATATGATTAGGGGAAAAAAGTTAATTTTCTTCCTAATTATATCTAATGTTAATATTGCTTAAAATGACTAAACATACATTAACTTGCAGCAAGAGGATGTAGCCTAAACATATGCTGATTGGCCAAAAAGGACCCCGGGGAATTAGGAATTTGCGGTGGATATAAGCTGTAAATTGAGTAATCCACACCGAGATAATCAAAAGTCAAATGAAGAGCAGGAAGGACAAGCTTCAATGAGTGATACACGCCACGATGCATGCAGTCATTTCAAAAGGGACGATAAACACACACCCACCTGTGGGTTTTGCTGCTGCTGTTATTTTTTTGTGTGTATTTGTGCTTGTGTGCATGTGTGTCTTTGGGTGGGAGTGTGTGTGTGTGTGTGTGCAGGGCAGAGTTTGACATTGGGTGTCCTCCTCTGTTGTTTGTTCTGTACTCCATTTTTTGAGGTAGGTCTCTTATTAAAAACCTGGAGCTAAGCTCTAGGCTATGGTGGTAAACTCTGGGGAATCTGTGTCCACACCCCCAGAGCTGGGCTTATAGACCAGTGTTACCTTGTCCAGCTTTTATGTGGATTTTAGGGATCCAAATTCTGGTCCTCGTGTGCATGCATCTATAAACATTTGTCCTTATACCACAGCCTATTTCATTTGGACAGCTACTTTGGGGAATATAAATTTTGTGAAGCTCATGAAGATGGGTTACACAAGGTGAATTTGACAATAGCCACCAGATCTTGTTTTTCTCAAAGTATGGGCATGTGTGTGTGTCTAAGAATCATAGAAGCTTTAGACAAAGAAGAAGAAGAAGAAGAAGAAGAAGAAGAAGAAGAAGAAGAAGAAGAAGAAGAAGAAGAAAGAAGAAGACAACCTTGGGGCTGACATCAACCTTTAACTGCAGGACAGTGACATTCTTGGCTTTTAATAGTTTCCTTAGGTACAAATTTATTGAGATGCCAAACTCCTAATTCATCTTCCTGCCTGGGGCTTATACACTTGCTTCACAGAAAGGAGGGGGCAAAAGATTGAGGAGAGAAGTTACTTCTCAATAATAAAACAAAAAAGAAGAACAGCTTCAGCTGTCCTGGGTCGTGTTATCCTCCTGTCTCCACATCCTGAATGTCGAGGTTATAAGCATGAACCACTGTGACTAGCTCCCCTAAAAACTCCAGAAAACCATAACTCAACATTTCCCTCCCCTCTCCCTCCTCTCCTGTCTGCTGCTTTCTCCTTTCTTTTGGTACATGCTCTACCACTAAGCTAAAACCCCAGCTCAACTTCACGTTTCTTGAAACATTTTTAAAGTTACATTTATTTATCATATGTGTATATGTGTGTGTGTATGCATAGGTGCGTGTGTATGTGTATATGTGCATGTATGTGTGTGTGCAGCATGCATATGTGTGTGTGTGCATGCACATGTGCATGTGTATATATGCATGTATGTGTGTCCTCCCCCATGCATGCATATGTGTACGTGTGTGTGTTTAGTCAGTTCTCTCCTACCACACGGGGTCCTGGGGATTGAACTCAGGTTGTCAGACTCTATGAGTGCCTTTGACTGAAGAGGTATCTCTCTGGTCTCAACTTTACCTTTCTTCCTTAGGACAGATGGAAGAGAGAGGGTTAACAGAAGCTTCATATTCATTTATTAGCTCTCCAACCCAAATGTTTTACTTCAAGACTTATAAAGCAAACAATTCAAAACACATTGTCTACATTTACACAATTTTCAGAGAATAAAATACTATTTCTTACAAAGTTATGATGACACCATGCAAACTTCCAAAGGAGGGAGTCAACCCATGGTCCTATCCGACTATGATGCCTATGAACCAGATTGAGGACCAGCATGATCCAATATCCTTATAGGGGCAATAGTGGCACATGCACCTTGGTAGTAACAAAAAGTTTTCAAATTGGACTTAAAATCTGTTCAACCAGAGGGATTGGTCCTGGTACTAGAGCTAACTACTCAGTACTGGTAAAGCCATGCTTATTGGAGGAGATTTACAACCTCTAATTTACTAAGCTAACAGAATCCCTAATGACAATCTATAAATATTTGTCCTTATACCACAGAGAAGTGCAGCCTTCACTCCTTAACCAGGAAACTTCTCTTTACAACAGACAGAGACCACTACAGGAAAGCACAGTTGTTGAGGTTTGGTCTGTTGCTATGTATTGTAATGCTAAATACTGACCCTCAAGGCCTGGTTGCCCCCAGGAATGAGATAATCTGCACACACACACACACACACACACACACACACAGAGTAATGCTATGTGATTTTGCTCCTACATTTAAACCTGCTGGTTGAATAAAGATTCAGACAGCCTATAGTTGGGCAGAAGAGAGACAGGTGGGGTTTGGGTTCCCAGGCTTGGAGTCTGAGAAGAGACCACAAGGGAAAGAGAGAAGTAGGTAGAGAGGAGAAGATGCTATGGGTTAGGTGAGCCATGAAAACCTGGCCATCAGGGCTGGCCAACTGGATTAAGGGCATCTCAGATGGAACGGGTCAAGTTATGAGTCCGGGTTATTGATAGGGAAGTAAACATAATAGCTTAGAGGGTAGATATCTGTCCAGCTCTAGCACATTAAAGGCTTATAAATACAAATATGTCTGTCTTTTATCTGGGAACTGAAAGATTAAACATGGGGTAGAAACTCCTGACTGAGATTAAATGTTTAACACAACACACAGCCAGTCAAAACTTAGAGTTGTGGAGCCCAGTCCCAATGGCTACATCTACAAAACACTTCTGTGCCTAAAGTGTAGAAGACATTGCAGAAGAAGCAACAGAAAGTTTGTAAGAGCCAGAGCATCAGGGACTTCGCTGTGAGATTGTGTCTCCTAGTAATGTCGGATGCCACACACATAAAGTCTCACCAATGTCTGCCCAAATGTGAGCCCAAAGGGGACACTAACGGACTTGCCAAATGGGACTGGGAAAGGTCCACGAGGCCTCCACCCTATACAAAGAACTTTAGGGAACCAGGGAAAGCCTCGAGTGGAAGGAGTGGCCTTCCCTAGGGAAGGGACCATCAATTGGTTATCCAGTGCCAATGATCAGTCCTGTTCAAACATACATACAAATAACATTATACGGACTGAGCAAGTTACATTTAAGATTACATATGTATATACATATGTGCATGTAATTGCAATTAGTAAAGAACGAGGCCGTGAATGTGAGGGAGAGCAGGCATGGGTATGTGGGAGGTTTGGAAGCAGGAGAAAGAATGGCGAAATAGCATAATTGTACTATAATATCAAAAAAATGTTACTTCTCCAGACAGTGTTGGTGCATGCCTTTAATCCAAGCACTCTAGAGGCACAGGCAGCAAGATCTCTGAGTTCAAGGCCAGTCTGGTCTACAGAGTGAGCTCTAGGACAGTCAGAACTACACAAAATGTTGTCTCAAAAAAAAAAAAAAGCCAAAACAACCTTGTCTTAAAAAAACAAAACAAAACCCACCAAACAGACAAAAGTTATTTTTAAAAAAGTTATGAAAAAAGCAAGCCAGGCAAGCATGATGTTAATCTCAGCACTTAGGAGGCATTAGCAGGTGAACTCTGTGAGTTCAAGGTTATCATGTTCTACCTAGCAAGTTCGAGGCCAGCCAGGGTTACAGAGTGTGATCTGTTTCAAAATAAAACAAAGCAAATCCCAAGCCTCTAACTCCAAACAACAACTACAGCCAACCAACCAACAAAAACCCTAGAACAAATAAAAACAAACAAAGAACCACCCCCAAACCCCAAAAGAAACACAAACAAACAAACAAAACCCCTCACACCCAGCACCTACCTCAGGCGGCTCAAAGTCACCTGTAAGTCCAGCTCCAAAGGATGACACCATTTTCTGGCCTCTCTAGGTACTTACACCTACACACCCCCCTCCCCCCAACACACATCCACATAATTAAAACAAATCTCCAAAAACCAATCAAACCAAACACGCATAACAAAATAAGGCACAGCCACAAATGAATCAAGGAGGCAGCTGCCGTGTGTGTCTTCAAACATAAGGCTGAGAGAGTTTTTCCTGACAGTCCGTCATGTTTGTACTACACAGCAGCCAACATCTCTTCAGCAGCGGCTGTGAAGCCTTGCTTTGCTCAGTGCTTTATTTGCTTCTTTGTTTAAAAAATAAAATAAAATAAAATAAAATAAAATAAAATAAAATAAAATAAAATAAAATAAAATAAAATAAAATATTTTGAGCTAGAAATGTAGGTCAGTGGAAGTGTGCTTGCCTTGCCTAGAATGTGTGAGTCCCTGAGTTCAAGTCCCAGCATCTCAAAAACACAAAAAAAATCAACTGACAATTAAGATTGCCATTTTGCTTCTAATCTGCTTCAGGCCTAGTTTTTAAAACACAGATCACAGGGCTAGAGTGGATGCTGTGTGGTTTAGGGTTCCCCCTGCTTTTGCTTTGGTTCCCAGCACTTACATGGGGTTTCACAGACTGCAACTTTTGTACCAGGAACGTTGAGGCTGTCATCTAAACTTTGAAGACGACAGGACCCTGTGGGCTCCACATACATGCATGCATGCAGACACCCATACACATAAAAATAACATGGGGCTGGAGAGTTGGTTCAGTGGTTAAGAGCACTGGCTGTTCTTCCAGAGGACCTGAGTCCTCACCCACATGGCAGATCCAATCCTAAAGTGATCCGATACCCTTATACAGATATACACGCAGGCAAAACACCAATGCAAGTGAAATAAAAACAAATGAGTTAAAAAAAAAACCTCTTAACACACATGCACCCCCACACACACATGCACACATGCACGCACACACACATGCACGCACGCACACACACGCACACACACATAGATCAGAGAGGTCAGAGA